GCCCCATAGAGGTAACTAAGAAAATAATAGATAGTGTGGTTCTTACTTAGGCTAGTGGTGACTTGCGTTTTCAAGCGCTTCAGGCAGTTTGTTTGGTTTTTTTTTAGTTCTCTTTGGCTCACACTGACTTGGAATAAATGCGCTCTTAGTTCTCACTAGTAACGTACTACAATTTTTGGTTTTTAGGACAACGTTCACTTACTCTATCAAAGAGCAGTGGCTTATCTGAATGTTGACTCTCCCATGAGAGGTATGGCCTATCTGGATGTACATAGTTAAGTGAACTGATTTCTGATGTGAAATTCAGGCGATTCTTCCAAAATTCACGACGTGAAACGAAACTTTAGACGAGTGAAGACAATCGCGAGGTGAGCGCGAGTCGAATGCGAGACGAACGTGTGAGGAGAATGCCAAGTGCGCGCTTCACTTCCCCTGACACGCTTCTCTCGTCTTTCGCGCTCTCGTGCCTCTATGCAACCATAAAACGGCAAAAAATTACGCCTTTCATTTCAACGTCGATAATGAAGGAGTTGCCATTATTGTGGGGTCGTTTTTTTTCTTGCCATAGTTATTTTTTCAATTGTTTTGCTTCAGGTAACTACAGTCTTTTTGTCAGAGCAAGCCCCCTTTTGCACCAGGCTTTGTTTACTGCTACAAAACAGGTACGTTTTTGACATTTGTATTTATCGAAAAAAGTCCGGTCCGATGAAAACTCTGCGACGATTTATCAAACAGATCGAGAGATTGCTTAAAAACATACAGGTTGTAATGGTGGGTTGATAAAATCGATCGTTCATCGTATTTTTTGGGAAATTTTTTTCTACCAATGAAGCTCAGAACCCTAAACTTATTGGAAAAAAAGGCCTGGGTATAGTTGGATATTTTCGATGAAAAGTCTGCCACAGCACAAGCTTAAGGTTTACCATCATTCCTCTCTTATCTTTCAGGTGAAAAATCCTATTGATATTAAACAATCGGTTTATGAAAACTGGCTGGATAAATTTCCTGCTGCTGATGGACTGAATCCAAAGTAAGTAACAGTTTACCCAAATCATATTTCGCTCTTTGTATTTACTTCTTATCTAATAGTCCCCAGGGTTCCTCACCGAGCGTTTTTCACGTAGAATCTTTGTTGTTTTTATTAGTCGCCGGAAGGAAAATTTTAGTCTCCCCTCCCCATCCCCACTTAAAAAAAACTTTGTTCAATATTACATCATGTACTCTAACGCTGACCACGCCAACCGTCTTAAAAAGTGATATGACTAGAAATAGTTTTTGAAGGTTCACGTAGCATCTCGGACAACCAAAGAACTTAAGAAGTGATTTTTCATAAACGGAGACGATTGAACGTAGACAAAATTCGCCAAATTAGTGACTTGCGCTGTAAATTTAGTCGCCAAATATTTTTTTCTCGCAACGTCTCTCGAAACGGCTTCAACCTAGAGCACTAAGGGACCCATGTTCGAATACAGGGATAACAAAAAAACAACAACAAAAAACACTCTATCTCGCGAGAGAGCGCAATTACGATCACTGACTGTGGTCTCCGCTATGGCCCGAGGACATTAAACAAACATCAACAACAGCAATAAATAGTTGAAACCAGAGATTTCAATAAGATTTTCCAGAAGCGGTTGCCGATGGTGTAATTGGCGACTGGGCCGCAAGGCGAAATGCAAACACAAGAGCCTATGACCAAAGTAAGCAGAGAGCGGTATTAGGTATTTTATTGAAACCCCTCTAAATAGCACTAATACAAAAATGATCTAAGACAAGATCTTAGGCAGAAGACTTTGCTCCCACAATGACTCTCCTTGCCAAGTTGTTTATCACCGAAGTGCGATTTTGAGACGCCATCAGCACTTCGTATTCGCGGCACGCCGGGGAAAATTGCTATCGTATTGGGCCACGGACGCCAAATGGGCACCCAGTAAGAAATATTTCTATTCTTTCCCATTGCCGCCAACCTACTGCGATATTAGCGATACAAAAAATCATGTTTAAGTGTTTAGCGCGATCCAGGGTTTTCAAGGAGAAATTAAAGCTGTAAACACGGATTGGAATGTGCCGCTGGACAAGGCATTTTGTAGCCTGCGACCAGGCCCTCTTCACTCGAGAATATGAAGGGGTACAAGCAGACTGTCGGGTAAACAAGACGAAATGCCGGGGGAGGGGAACTTGCCATCGATCAGCAGTTCACCCCTGTGGAATAGCGATGCCCTCAAATCGCTCCATACCACTGGAACTGTATTAAGCTGCAGCAGCTGTAGTCCCGTAGTATGTTTCCGCCGAAAACTACGTTCTCGTTCCAGTCCCTCCGCGCTTAGTTGACGTCTTCGTCCCTCCTTGGCTCGATTACCAGCCGCTGTTCGGGAACCGGAGCCCGCGCTCATCCCCGAACCCACCGCTGGACGCGTGAGGTTTCTTTTGTTGCTTCTCGGGGAGGGACGAGAAAGACTTGACCCGAGAGAGCGGCAGAAATCGAGCCTACGTCCCACCCAGCTTTCGTCGGTAGCCCAAGCTTCCTTTTGTGAACTGACATAACGTTTTAATTTGTTTTGGTCTGATCATTTTTCCTTTATCTTTTTGTCGTAAGAGTTCCTCCTCTTGGCTCAGGCAGTGACTATTCTCCATTTTGTCAAAGAGCTGGAGTCCCTTCAGCGGATATCCGATACGTTTTTGACATGGTATGCATTACTCTGTTAAATCTAGACGCCTATCGGCGCGCACCCGGATGCTTCTAACGGTAAAATCTAGGCACAACATTCATACTGGTTTTATCCTTTTTTTTTTTTTTTTTTAATAAAAATAATCCTTTATTCACTATAATCACAAAAATTATAACAAAAATTATGCTAAAATGCTTGAAAATCGATAAAAAAAATTTGTGAAAATGTCTAATAAAAATGTAAAAAAACGAGAGGATACACACTATCATAACGAAAATTTCACTCTAATCATAAAAAATATTTACAAATTAAGTTAAAATCCTTAAAAAATCGAAAAAAACATGAAAATGTCGAGTAACAAATTATCTAAAATGGTTTACTGGTTTTATCCTTATTTCACTAGAAAATTTCACTTCTG